GAGAGAGAGAGACAGAGTGACAGAGTGACAGAAGTTTGAAATAAATAGTAAGGGATCAAGTGCAAGCAAATGTAAACCTGAGAGCGAGAAGGGGGAGGGAGGGAGGAAGAAAGGTAGAGGAGAGAGGTGAGAGAGGGTGATATTACTTTGCTAACATGTTGTTCTTAATGTTCTTGTTGCAGGTCTGTTGTGTGTCACTTTCACAGATACAGCTCTATTGTGTGGTAATGGTGCCGAATCATGCTTCGCCAAGTATGGTGGGATGTCGCTTAAGGCAAAATGTTGTCATGAGATGGTACAAGCATTTACTCCATTCGGATAATTCATGTATTATCATTTCAACTAACTAGTGTGAATCTGTATCATATCAACTTCTGCTGCAGTTGAATTGTGTGACTCTTTTATGTTTGGCATGTAAACATATTTTCTTAAACGTTAATCTATTTTATCACGTGGTGAAACTATTGGTCAATTTATTTGTACATAATTATATATATCAAAATTATATAATCAACGTAGGCTGGGTATGTCTGTTAAGTATTACCATAGTCTGCTGTTCCTTATATTAAGTGTCTGGTGAAGATTACGTGCAGGGAAAAAAATAAAATTTATTTTTCGGGGGCTACTTTTCAAGCTCGCGTGCATGAAAATAGCACTCTAAAATTTGGTTTGCATTGAACTCTATGCAAATTTACGGGGGCTCTTTTTGGCATTTCAGGGGCTAAATCGCCCCGAGCCCCAGTGTATTTTTTTCACTGATTACGTGTTTAAATATTGTGTAAACACCTCTCTACTACTCCCTACAGGCTCTGAGACTGCTGCTCAACTGTATAGAATCGCATGCAGCACAGTATTCTCGTTACACCGTGCCTGTCCTTTGCATGAGTGCCGACTTCTGCCTTCGAGTGTTTGTGAAAATCTACACAAGTGCCGAACATGCCAACAGCACAGCCAGGTAGGATTTAAGTTCATATTTTTTGTCCAAGGCTGTTCAAATTCATAGTATTGCATTTATAATATATCTACATAATTACGAAATAGTGAGCCTGAATTCATGGTAAATCTCCGAGAAAAGAAATTACAAGGTAAAAAACCAGTATAAACATTGTAATCGTAATATTTTTACTTCCCTAAACATTCGTATAGTATAAAAAAAGTATTTATTTATTATCGTAAGTGTTTCTAAACTACCAGTGTTATAGCTGATGCAGGTGATGGGTTAATTTGCATGCAAAATATAGTGTGCCAATAGGAGTTTTAAGAAAATGTTACTACAAGCACTTTTTTTTTAGATAACGTGTAGGTAAGTATGTGTCTGTGTAATGCCATTTTATTGATTTTGTTTTATTATAATGGAAACTTTATACTGTGTAATTCACAAATGTTTAGGATGTGTTTAGGATTTTAATTATTTAGTTTGCTTCATCTGGTGTTTTTGCACTCTTTTCTTGCAGCAAGAGGGCGCTAGTATATCAGTGCACTGGCTGTGAAACATTTAACTTGCAGCACATGGGAAAGATTAGTACAAATGATCAAAACAAGTGAGTTAGTTCTATATATGAACTCGTGTTTTTCCTGTAATCGTCACATAAATGATGACATTGATATCATTTGACGCTGAAATGCTGGAATTTCCTTTACGCGTGACATAATCGTTGACTCGGTTTTTCGAGTATTTGGTGTTTAGGATTGAACTGACATTAAGTTGATGTTTTTTATTTCTTAATTTTCAGCACAATGTATAAGAACAGTGCTGGGCCACCAGTCAGCCTCGCATGCAGACATTGTTCTTATCCCCATCATGTGAGTGAATAATAGATGAATATGAGCAAAACTGATCTATGCTCTATGATAATAGTTTTAGTTTTCATTATTTTCCTCATTTACGTGTGTGTGTGGCGGGGGCATGTGTGTATGTGTGACTATTATCAATCATTATCGTAATGTTCATTGCATTATCTAATTATTCACGAGTTGTTTACCGGAATTACAAGAGGCATGTTTTCTGACTTCGTAGTTGGGTGGACCGATATGGGCAGAGCCCCTGTATGAGACTACATTCCTCACTGGAATGATCCAAAATATTCAAGATCACTGGGATGCATTAAAGTCGTCAAAGAGAATCATTGGTATGCTGACAATGATGATGGAAGTGAGTATTATTAGATATTATTGAAAAATAAACAAATAATATACCGATTGACACGTCCTTTGTTAATTTTGAACATGGACACATAGATATTATACAACTATTACATGGTTGCAAGGAAAACAGCATATAATTTGTGTTTCAGGAATTGCAAGATGCCCCACTGTACTATGTGCTGGATAAGATATGTAGTGTTGTGCAAGTACCAGCACCAAAAATAATAAAAGTCAGGTAATGCTCATCCAAGATTGAATCTGATCTAATCTGAATCATTAATGATCTTAATCTGATTCCCTGTGATATCATACTGCATTCATTGTATTATAACCCATCTTTGTGAATATTTCATCTCATTAAAAGAAAGATTACATTGTGTTTGTATTAATTCTTATAGATGTAAAATATTCATAAGACAATTATGTAACTTGAATAACTCTTTGTAAAACGGTTTTTATAAGAGCGAGTGGATTCTAATTGTTTATTATGTGTTTAAGGTCAGCGTTGCTGCATGCAGGATTCCGTGTGTCCGGCTCTCATTGCAATCAAGGAGCAATTAAAACTGATGCTCCTAGCGACACCATCTGGGATATTGTTCGCTGCTTGGTAAGTGGCTCCTTCTGTATTGTCATCATAAATGAACAGCCGATAGAAATTGTATAAACATATGTTCTTACCTTATAATTGAGTAAGAATCATAATTTTTTGTTTCTACTTTAATTAATTAAAAATAAATTATATGCTTGGCAGGCAAGAGAAGAAGGCAAGCCAATAAAGCCCAAACTAAGATCTCAGGCAGAGGTGATTCTAAGCAAAGAGCCAAGGTAATCTCTCAGAACATACAGGGTGTCACTGTATGATCAATTACCAGATCAATGTATTCACTATTCTGCTCTAACAGGGTATAGAACCACTTCAAACCCTATGTATGTTAAATCGTTGAAATAATTGTATAAGTCACTGTATGATTATGATATATGTGTGCACTGCAGTTCATGCCTTTTGTGCAGGTGAGTTGTGTGGTTGGAGGGTATATTCGCTTTATTTATTGTATTCTATACAGACATTTCGCTTAATTGTTCAGTTTTAAAGCAAACTTTGAGAAGCACCCTGATGCAGATCCAATATCAAAGAGGCGAGGGCAGAAACTGCAAACTACTCCTGACACCAAGAAAAGGTATGAGACACATTACAACCCACAGTTGCTACAGTTGCTAATGCTAAATGTCTTGAAAACATGCTAGCTATATGTGTAGAGATGCTCAGTGAGGCTGAAGGGGTCGTTGTCGTATATGTAGTACCCGAGGTGTCGGCGAGTATGTCGCCTACGCTTACTCCCTAACCCTAACCCTAACCCTAACCCTAACCCTAACCCTAACCCTAACCGTATCAGATAGTTACCTCGGGTACATATTTGTACTACCCTATACGACAATGACCCTTCGTGCCTCGGTTAGTCGTTACATCTTTGTTTTTCAGTGGTAGATGCTTTGTACCATAGATATATGCTATGTAAACATGATGAAAAGAATTTATGGTTAAACATTGCAAGATTAAAATGTAAAATCCCAATTCTTTTCACACGGGTGAAGGTGTAATCGAGGTATACAGAATACTGTCACGTAACATTTAAACAGTGGTCAGAATAATCAATTCACTATTGACTACTGCACTGCTGCACAAATATGGACTAATGTGGGTCAGAACGACCTGTGTTATATCAAGAGTCCATAATAGAGTCACTATTATAGACTCTTGGTTATATTTACATAGCGTATTGACAGTAGTTTACACTCATAATGCAGGCAACCTGACATGAGTGATGTGGTGATAGAGAAACATGATGGTGATAGCATAGATGGAGCATCAAAGCCGAAGCAGAGCCAAGGCAAGAAACGAAAGAAGAAAAAGCAAGCAAATCCAGACTTCCTTAAGAGGTTTCCGTGCAAGAAGTACAAACGGGTGCGTACTGTCAGAAATGTTGCCACGCGCGTGATTCTTTTAATACGTGATACAAGGTTTAGGAGAGTTCGTCACATGAGCATGATATTTTATTGTGGATGAAGAGATAAGTATCAGAGAATTGTGATAATTGTGATCCACAAATGTGAGCATGCCATTTTATTGTTCAATGTTAACGTTTATAATGTTTCGGCTGTAGCAGAATATACCGTGACACCTTTCTCGACCTTCACAGATTCTTGATGGGAGTTTGTGCTTGTTGCTTCCACGCTGATTTGCAATCTTTAGCTGTGGACACACTAGGCGATTTTTCAGGCGATTGAGTCGGGCAACTGAGTGGACACACTAGGCGATTTTCAGCGCGATTCATCGGCGATTTTTCTCCTGCTGCAACACTAAAACACTCGTGCCACCTAGATTGATAGTCACATGATTGAAAATGGCACCGTTTGATTGGCTGATGAATTGTACAATCGGGTGACTCATTCGCCGACCCGGACACACTAGGCGATTGTAGTCGCACGACTCAAATAATTGCTCGATTTTATCAAACATGTTTGATGAGTCGCCCGACTCGAAAATTCCCGGCGACTCACTGACTGGACACACTAGGTGATTTTTCAGGCAATTCAATCGCCCAACTCAATCGCCTGAAAAATCGCATAGTGTGTCCACAGCTTTTCTTTGCACAGCACTGTGTTCTGAATGTGTATAACTGTGTTTCAGGGAGAGTGCACGCTGGGAGAGACATGCCGCTACTCGCACGACCTTGACAAGGTCAGTCGTGTCAAGCCTGCAGGCACAGAGCAGACGGAGGAGCAGCCTGATCTGAAAGCGGAGAACAACTCTGACGTTCGCGCTGGTGCAGAGCACGGGGACTACGAGCCCATGCTTACAGACAACCCAAACTTCCTGAGTGACAATCCTCAAAACTTTCAGGCATTCTGATACTGTCCGTGTGTGGCATCGAGAGTTTGCGTCGTCCTGCGTCACAGTGTTGTTGCTACGTTTCACTGTGTTGTTGCTACGTTTCACTGTGTTGTTGCCGTGTTTGCTAATCTTGTCCACATTTCTCACAATGCTGGGGGCAGGGTTAGGTCTTGTGGGGCTTTAGGGTTGCTAGCTATCTAGACAGGTTCAATTGCGTGGTTTTGCAGACATTAGCGTAGTCATTGACGTCTCAAGATCTAACGTGATGTTGCACGTTTAGTTGTTTATGATTCAGGTGATGTATTAGTTACAATGTAACAACAACAAACTAATGCATGTTAGTAGTTTGTTTGTTAACATAGTTTTAGTTTTTTTGTATTTTAATCAACGTCGTTGTAAGCTATGCCACTGATGGGAAAATTTGCTTGTGTAGTTTGTTTTCATTTTTTTTATTTTGGTCGTCAGATTCAACGTTCAACTTCTACCGATCTATATTTGTGTGTAAAAGTAAAACGGGAATGTAAACTGCCATGTACACATCATGAATATTTTGTTGCGCTTTGGAAACAAAAGTCAAACGTATGAGTGATCGTATACGCACAAGGAAGACTCGGGACTAAGTATGGCAATGTACAGGCAGTCTTAAACCGCACTTTTAGTAGAATTCATCCCGTTTACAGGTGCCCTTGTACTGTAAACACCTTTTAAAGAACAGCGGCCCAGTTATTTAGATTATTCCTGTACAGATTCATGAACTGCTGTATATATCTCGCTTGCAATATTGGGATGGATTCTAGAATAGCCTCATCGTAAATTCGTCAAAATAATAATTAAGTTTGGTTTCTATGCTGGTTTGACGGAAATAATGTGCTATGAAACACTATTTGATAATGTTGCGGTGTATATTGTCATAGTCTGCTTATAATGTGGCGTGTTGTATTCGTCGTGGTCGAAGTGCCTTGTCACAACAGCTAGTAACCCTAATGACTGCTATCGGTATATAACGGAGTTTCACATTCCTACCCTTAATTCTAATCCACATTAGTGTTTGTGTAATATACACATATCTATTGCTTTGTGTCTTAATAATATTCACTGCTCTTTTCGTCGTTATAAATGTTTTATGAATGAGTATACTACTTTGTTGTAACGCTTTCGTACAGCACTACAAGCCCGTGAATCGCATTGATTTAATTTGCATCCTCGTGTTTCAGCAATTGGTCACGAACTAATATGCTGTATAGTTAGCAAGTTGATGCCTCATTCACTGGTTAGCTCTAAAGTATTACGCCAAGCCGCGATCCTTGCTGATATTTGTGTGGGTGGTCCCTGCCTTAGTATTTTACGTTTTCAATGGTTCTTTGGCGCCCTCATTGACGGGCCCGCTATTTTACCTGGTTATCCAAGCCACGAGATAATCATAGTCCGCAATGGACCGGGTTTCTACTCCCATTTCATTTACTATTATTATTGTAATAATTTGTGCATGGCGAACGCATGAACAAATAAATTATATGCTATATTTAGTTGTTTTGCAGTATTTTGGTAATTCAGTGTTAGTAACGTAAAATGTATATTAATATATGTCACAAGTATATGTTTATTTTAGTAGCAAGTATAGTAGGCACGGCATTAAACGACGAACTGTATATGAAGAAATAAACGTTTAACTGTAACGCAATCGAGTGTTGGTAATGCTCTGGTTTCTCGCATTCATGTTGTCCTCATCTTCACTCGTGATATACATGTATGTACCCGTCTCCCTCCTCCCTAGACATTTATCGCGAATTTGTTCAATGACACTACATTTGTGCTTGAAAATACGGCAGCCACACGGCCGTTCACCCAACTAACTACCTATGCATGCAACACTATGCTACTACTATGCTATGCTATACAGTATATACACTATGCTATACTATACTATACTATGCTATGCTATACACTATGCTACACATGCTATGCATGCTATCAGGAGCGTATAATGACAAATTATATACATTTATATACAAATTTTTATATACATTTATATACAAATTATAATGACATATATTTGTCATTATACGCTCCTGATGCTATGCATACACACGTTAGCCAGTCTAACTGATGCAACCACAAAACACCGCATCATCCTTATAGTGCACGGTCTGCGGGCCCTCCGATTGATTGCGTCATAACGCTGCGTCACCATGGTGCGTCGTAACGCTGCATCACCATGCTGCGTCGTAAGACTGCGCCGCTGTGCTACGTCGTAAGGATACGTCACTGTGCTACGTCGTAAGACTGCGTCGCTGCGCTACGTCATAAGACTGCGTCGCTGTGCTACGTCATAAGACTGCGTCGCTGTGCTACGTCGTAAGACTGCGTCGCTGTGCTACGTCGTAAGGATACGTCGCTGTGCTACGTCGTAAGACTGCGTCGCTGCGCTACGTCATAAGACTGCGTCGCTGTGCTACGTCATAAGACTGCGTCGCTGTGCTACGTCGTAAGACTGCGTCGCTGCGCTACGTCGTAAGACTGCGTCGCTGCGCTACGTCGTAAGACTGCGTCGCTGCGCTACGTCGTAAGACTGCGTCGCTGTGCTACGTCGTAAGACGTACTGCGTCGCTGTGCTACGTCGTAAGACTCAGTTCGCCTGTGCTGCGTCGTAAGACGTACTGCGTCGCTTGTGCTGCGTCGTAAAGCCTGGCGCACATTGCCGAACATTTTAACGAAACAATGCTTCGTCCCGAACAAATGTTTTTGTCTGGCAATGTGCGGGTGGACAATTGCTCAGCGCACATTGCCGAACATTTTGCAGCGAACAATCTCGTGGCGCGGTCTAGTAGCTGTTGTTCTAAAGAGTCACGTGATCGGCGCCATGATTGGGCAGAAAAATCACGTGACCACATATCGTTGCTGGCTATTTGTTACCACTTTAGAAATGTTCCTATAATTGTTCGACATTCAGCGCACATTGACGAACATTCGACGAACAATTTCGAGATATCAAAATTTCAATCTTCAGAAACATTGTTCGGAACAAATGTTCGGCGACTTTTTTCAGCGCACATTGCCGAACATTCTTCATGGAACATTGCTACGAACAATGTTTTGAGCAAAAGTGTTCGGCAATGGTGCGCCGGGCTTAAGACTGCGTCGCTGCGCTACGTCGTAAGACTGCGTCGCTGTGCTACGTCGTAAGACTGCGGTCGCTGTGCTACGTTCGTAAGACTGCGTCGCTGTGCTACGTCGTAAGACTGCGTCGCTGCGCTACGTCGTAAGACTGCGTCGCTGTGCTACGTCGTAAGACGGCGTCGCTGTACGTGCTACGTTCGGTAAGCGTACTGCGTCGCTGTGCTTACGGTCGTAAGACTGCGTCGCTGTGCTACGTCGTAAGACTGCGTAGATGTGCTGCTGCGTCGTAAGGACGTACTGCGTGCGCTGCTGCGTCGCTAAGACTGCGTACGCTGCGCTACGTCATGAGACTGCGTCGCTGTGCTACGTCGTAAGACGTTACTGCGTCGCTGTGCCTACGTCGTAAGACTGGGTCGCTGTGCTACGTCGTAAGACTGCGTCGTTGTGCTACGTCGTAAGACTGCGTCGCTGTGCTACGTCGTAAGACTACGTCGCTATGCTACGTCATTAGACTGCGTCGCTGTGCTACGTCCTAAGACTGCGTCGCTGTGCTACGTCGTAAGACTGCGTCGCTGTGCTGCGTCGTAAGACGTACTGCGTCGCTGTGCTGCGTCGTAAGACTGCGTCGCTGCGCTACGTCGTGAGACTGCGTCGCTGTGCTACGTCGTAAGACTGCGTCGTAATACTGTTACACTATGTTCCGTCAGAATTCCGCATGTATCTCCGTTCCGTCTCTCTATACTCGACAATAGCACGTGTTACAATGCTGTCGCTTCTTGATCTGGTAACGGAGAGGTCTGTGACACGACCTGCGTTTTCTCTCCGTCTTCTTGATCTGCTTACCGACGTCAATCACGTCCAATAAACAATAATATTGTAGGCACCATCCCTGTTTCCACCGGCCTCGTGAAAACATGTTATATCATTGTGATTGTGGATTATCCCTCCACTTGCTGCCTCATAGGATCTACTGTTCCCCAGGTACTGCCGCGAACCTACCATGGGTACGGTCCGCGTATACCGGAACGTACCCTGATAACTATCTGATATGGTTTAGGGTTAGGGTTAGGGTTATGGTTGGCAGTAGGCGTAGGCGACTCCCTAGAATCGTTAGTGGAGTAAGTGAGGTACGGTCGGCATATTAGATAGTACCAGGGTACGTTCCGGTATACCGGACCGTACCCAGGGTACGTTCCGGCAGTACCCTGGGGGACATAGACCCTCTCAGCCTCACTGCTGCTTTCACGTAGCGCCGCCGCTGATCGGTTACGCTATCTCCTGCGCTATATAGGAATGTTTACAAAACCTATTTCACAATGCTAGTTCGTGCGGACTGCCCTTCACAATGACCTACTGTGTGCGTCTGCAGTAATCACAACATCGGTAATTTAGCTCGACACAATCGTCAGCGTTCTAAGAAATTACGGGTATAATGCATCAGCCGATGATCAGCGCGAACACTGGCGGGCTTGTCTGTCAGCGATGTGTCCATCGGGAGTCTATAGTTTAGACGTGCGCGACACGGGCACTTGGGGATAGAGTCAGTAAAAACTGAAAATAATAGTGCGCGAGCGGCTAGTTCTGCATTAGGTTTTGGGAAAGCAAGTTGATATACAGTGACACAACAGTGGAAGTGTAATTTGTGAATGTGCGTTCATATTTATTTAATATATTTTCAGTTTTTTACTGACTGTCCCATGTGCCTGTGTGCGCGCGACGCTGGGGCATCGACCTTCTTACTAATCACGATTCCTCTGAGGGTCGGGGTGCCGAGGTAGTGAGGACGAGGTAGTGGGCGAGCCGGGCAGCCGCCAAATTCCAACTATGCGTGTGCATTCTTCACGGTCACGGTCAAACAACGCGCGTTCTATTGTGAACAGGCGATGAGTAGAATTGGATAATGAATTCTATTCACAAAAACGCGTTCCAAAAAGATTTACGATGTGAATTAGTGAGAATCGAGCGAGCTCAATTCTTATCTTTCAATATCGCTGGTCATCGAGTTTTGGAACCATTGATCTCTATATAGTACTAACTACAATGTATAATCTCATTATATACGGCTCAGTATAGTTGGGACGAGCGTACACCGTCGTACCTATCTCTCCGTAGACGCATCTCCGTATCTCCCTCGCGCCGTACCCCGTATATTATGGGAGGGGATGTGTCAAAATTCAAACGTTCAATTGATCGATTGATTGTTCAATTGAACAGTCGTTTAATCATTCAAACGTTCAATTGATCGATTGATTGTTCAATTGAACAGTCAATTTAATCATTCAAACGTTCAAATGATCGATGATTGTTCAATTGATCAGTCGTTTAATCATTCAAACGTTCAATGATCGATTGATTGTTCAATTGAACAGCAATTTAATCATTCAACCTTCAATTGAATCGATTGATTGTTCAATTGAACAGTCAATTTAATCATTCAAAACGTTCAATTGATCGATTGATTGCTTCAATTGATAGATTGATTGTTTAATTGAACAGTCGTTTAATCATTCAAAACGTTTCAATTGAGCAATTAAATAACGAATTGCCAAATTGAATCGCCGAATTGACGAATGACAAATCAAAGGCACGAATACTGAATAGGCGTATTGAATCATGGAATGGGAGCAATTGCCGAGGCTGTCTATCGAGCAATTGCCAGAGGCTCGTCATCGAGCTCAGCTAGGGCTCGTCATATCGCCAATCAAACGTATACCTACTGCCCACATGCGCACAGAGGCATGACGGAAGGCGCGGTAGCGGCGTACGTTGCTAGGAACGCAATCGGCCGGCGTTCCCAGCAAGTGCGTGTACCCGCATGTACGGTGCGTGCACCCGCGTGTACGTGCGTGTACGTGCGTGTACTCGCGTGCACGTGCGTGTACCCGCGTGTACGTGCGTGTACCCGCGTGTACGTGCGTGGATCTGCGTGTACGTGTGTGTACCCGCGTGTACGTGCGTGTACGTGCGTGTACGTGCGTGTACCCGCGTGTACTGGCGTGTATCTGCGTGTACTGCGTGTACCTGCGTGTACGTGCGTGTACCCGCGTGTACGTGCGTGTACCCGCGTGTACGTTGCGTGCATCCGCGTGTTACGTGCGTGTACGTGCGATCAATTGAACGTTCGAATGATTAAATTGACTGTTCAATTGAACAATCAATCGATCAATTGAACGTTTGAATTTTAATACATCCCATTGTATGTGACAATCCCCTCCCATAGTATGTGCCCGCAATCGTAAACAACTTCTCTACATATGGAAGGCCATTACGCCAAAACCTACCTATTACCGTGGTTTTTAATCGCGATTAAAATGGATTTTAAGCGCGATTAAAATAGGTAGGTTTGTTGTGTGTGTGTGTGTGGTGTGTGTGTGTGTGTGTGTGTGTGTGTGTGTGTGTGTGTGTGTGTGTGTGTGTGTGTGTGTGTGTGTGTGTGTGTGTGTGTGGTTATTTGCGTTACTTATCTATAGGCGCGTATTCTATTCTATGTACATAGATCGTTTGCAACGTAAGGGTTGATAATTTCATGAGTCAACTTATCAAATTCAAATCAAAGAGCAATGC